AAATCCTAAAACATAACCCTAAAATTAAAATAAGAACTAAATAGGCGCGTAATCAAGAAGCCAAAGCGAATAAACTTGAACGGACATTAAAAAAATAAACACAAAAGAAATGAATCATAACGAAAAGCTAAAAAATATTAATATTAAATATGAAACAAGCGTACTTGATAAAAAAAAACAATACTCCGACGCAACGCTGTTATAAAAATGAACAAAATGGTCGACGCGCTCTTGACATCTGAAATGCTTGACAGCTTGATATCTGTCTTCGCCGGCAACTTCATGCTGGCTGAATTGTGCGCAAGTGTCAAAGTCTTAGCTTGATTTAATGCCTCCTGTATAATATTTAAAAACAATAATGTAATTAATGTCATACTTCAAATATGACTTGATCGGTTTGTCATTGTAATTAGCATTTAGAAAGGAACCTTCATTAGAGAAATGAAGTAATTGCTGATTAATAACTTCTATAATATTCGTTCACACAGTGGATTATGTTAAACAACGCCTAAACAAATATTGTTTTTGCAAATTCACTCATCATGTAATAATTGTGTTTGAAGAACTTTATGTAATTAGAATTAACATACATTCATTGATTGGTTGTATTTTTTTTACTTGTTCGCTGGCGATATAATCTCATTCTTTGAACAGCTGTAATATCTGTTTCGCCTAAAAAATATTTTCCATTTTAATAACTTCAAAGATTTATAGAAACTACAAATAATATAGAAATAATGTCTAATCAATGAACTTACGTTTAGTACACGGCACAAATGTTTAATTTGTTTTATTATTATCAAGAAACAGGGTACAATATTCTTCTGATTCGGGCATTTTTCATTAAATCAAGATTTGTACTACGATGTAACTTTAAAATGTTTATTTATCTATGCTTATCTATTTCCTTGTTGATATCGGTACACATGCAACGACAGATCTCTATTCACATACACGACGACTAATCACAATCGACTCGTATGGAAATGATATAATCGAGAGCGAATGACAAATCATTGGCACTGGACTCTTATTTTATCTTATCTGCCGTAACGCACTTCCTTTTCATTTGTACGGATTTATACCCTAGTCGCGCCTGAAGAAATTTTACTTCAAAAATATATCAGCAAAGACTTTGTTTAAAAATCCGTGGATAGATATCTACATATATATAAAAATAAGTCGGGTTTTCCTTCCTGACGATTTAACTCCAGAACGCACGAACCGATTTCGACGATGTTGCATTCGTTGGGAAGGTCTCGGGCTCCGCAAGATTTATCTGGGAAAATTAGTGGTACATGACATCGTGCCTTAATGCAAATTGCTGGAACTTCATGCACCGTAATTAAAAAATTGAGTAATGACATTAGTGAGAATTATCAGAATTATGCAACGAGCGATTCTTGCCGCAAAGAATAATGATGTACACGCACTGAATTTCATCATTCAATCAAAAAGTGCTGTCGATTTGGGACATACCAATGATTCCGACTGGTCTTCCGTCTGACTTCAAACGATTGCAATTTCCAGTTCGCCTTGCGTTCGCAATAACAAGTCGCAAGGCCAATCGCTTAGTGTTTGCGGGATAAATTTCAAATAGATTATTTAGAAAATCATTGTTTTTCACATGGGCAGTTATACGTTGCCTGTTCACGAGTTGGAAAACCATCCGCTTTGTTTGTGTTAACGTCAGACCAAAAAACAAAAAATGTGGTTTAACAAAGATTACTTCCATGAAACGGATAATTGACGGATACACTTTCATTTACTTAGAGAAGTTCAACTAAAAAACACTTCATTTTTATAATCGAAATAATTTCATTACTGTTGTGTAATAAAATCAAATTTTTCCTTTTCAAATATAAAACAAACAAAACATTTCTTCATCTCTCTCACGAAACCATCTGGTGGCGAAACGGAGTTCGTCGGGTTTGCTAGTCTTTGATAAATATTTAAATAAATGAATAATTATATAAATACAATTAAGATAGTTTTCCAAGAGTTTCGCAGGAGTCTTTTCCCATGACAATAATAATAAAGTCTCGATGGACGAATCACATATGTATGGAGAATCCTCTGATTCTCCAGTACTATGAGTGAACAACAAGTCAACAAGAGCAAAAGGCAAAAGGCAAAATGCGAATAGCGAAATGTGAAGATAATCAATACATTTCTAAAAGTAGTTCTAAAAGGAGTCGCTCTTCGGCTCTTCCTATGTGTATGTGTATGTGTATGTGCATCGTGCGGGGTACCCCGGTCGGTATGTAGTATATAGTATGTGCAATGTGTAGTGTATATGCATTTATCTCTTTCCGTGTGAACCAATCACGGTTACTTCTACATTCCAGGGGTTAACAACCCTTACGAAAAAGGATAATAGAAGGCGGAAACAAGGATGAAACTTAAAGCGGTGCATGGCATCGTGCCTTAACTGTGGGATCGTGCCTGAAGTGTGTGCCTGAAGTGTTTCACAAAAGCAATTATAATAATATTTCTTTTTTAAAAAAATTAAATCAACATATCCATTTATTGATATGGAAGCAAGTATACAATCTGCTAAAATACAAAATTAAAAAAATATTTTAAAAATATTTTTGAAAACAATCTAACTTTTTAATATTTAAATATATTATATTGAAAGCACTATAAAAATGACAGCTACGACAAATCTATCTTTTTTCTCTTTCTCTGTCTAACTATATCTATTTCTGCCTATCTCATTCTCTCTCTATCTCTCTCTTCCTATCTCATTCTCTTTCTCTCTCTCTCTCTGTCTATCCCTATTTTTCTCTTTGCCTATCTCATTCTCTCTCTCAGTCTAACTCCTTCTCTCTCTGCATAGCTATCTCTTTTTCTCTCTGTTTATCTATTTCCTTCACTCTGCCTTTCCCTTTCTTTCTTTCAAGCTATCCCTGTCTCTCCTTTACTCTACCCATCTATTTCTCTCTGTCTAGCTGTCTCTTTCTCTCTCTGTCTATCGCTTTATTTCACTCTCTATCTTTCTATCTCTGCCTTATTAACTTCCCGTAGGGTATCGAAAATGAAAATGAAAATCGAAAATGAAAATGTTTGCATTTGTCGACGTTTTGAAGGTTTCTGAACATTTTTAAAAGGCATACCTCAGAAAAAATGGATGTGTGTGTATGTTTTGTATGTCCGCATTTTTTCGTCCACGTCTTCGGGCGCACGGATCAACCGATTTGAATAATTAAAAAAAACATTCGATCTCTATTGATAGAGAGATGTGCTGATTAGTTCTTGGCAAAGGCAGGTCAAGCCGTTTCGGAGATACGGAGCAAAGTGTGCAGAAAATAGAAATTTAGTTTCTAGTAGAACGGAACGTCCGATTTGAATGATTCAAATAATATTTTATTTGTATTGACGAAATGAAGAACTGACTTTTTTGAAAAGGCGGATCGAGCGGTTTCGGAGATTCAGTGAAAAAAGTAAAAAAAATATATTTGGCGGTCAAAAATAATCATTAGACATATGCATAAGAAATCATCAGATATTTTATAGAGAGTTTAATAATAAGTACAAATTTTGTTTACATTTTTATGGGTTTCGTACCAATATTTACACGTTAATCTGCGACGCGGCGATTACTCGCTTTTAAATTTCAATTCTGAAACAGCTATATAGCGCAATTTCTTTCGAAAAATGTTTAAAATTTTTAAAAAAGATCGAGAATCGATCGATAAAAAAGAAAGAAAAAAATTTAAATTTTTCAAAAAAGTCTTTTTTTCTTTTTCAAAAATCTAATTTTTTCAATTGATTTAAAGAGATTTTCAAAAAAAGTAGTTGTCGGTACGGGAAGTTCCAGCAATTTGCCTTAAGGCGCGATGCCATCTACCACTAGTTATGGGCCAAAAATCAAAAATGAAATTTTTTGCATTTCTTCACGTTTTAGAGGTTTCTGAACATTTTGGCATACTTCAGAAAAAATGGACGTGCGTGTGTATGTGTGGAGACGATTTTTCGTCGACGATTTCGGGCGTATGGATGAACCGATTTAAAAAATTCAAAAAACATTCGATTGCTATTGATAGGGAGATATGCTGATTTGTTTTTGGTAGAGGCAGGTCCAGCAGTTATGGAGATCAGGAGCAAAGAGTGCAGAAAATGGAAACCATGTTTTTGATAGAACGGAGTATCCGATTTGAATGATTTAAAAAACATTCAATTTGTAATGACTGGGAGAAGAGGTTGTTAGTTTTTGGCAAAGGCAGGTCCAGCCGTTTCGGAGATACCGAGCCAAATGTGCAAAAAAATCGCAGTTTTTGAGTGAACTAAGCGTCCGATTTAAATGCTTCAAAGAACTTTCTGCTTGTATTGACAAAACAATTGCTTTTGAGGATAAAAAACTATTACATCTTTTCTTATTTTCCATAAAATATTTTTGTAATTTTGGATTAAAAATTCAAAAAATCACCCAGGCTAAGCACAGTCTAAGTGCCACTCTGGTACAAATGTTTACTCAAGTGCGTTTAGACTGTTTATGTATTGGAGCAATTTTCCAATTTTGTGAAAACTATTGAAAAATGTGAAAATGCCGCCAAGCTAAGCACAGTATAAGTGAAAATGTCGCACAGAATTATTTGCAAATGCGTTTAGACTGCGACTATATAGGAGCACTTTTTCAATGTTGTGTAAATTAGACAACTATTTTTTTTTGAAATTGAATTCGAAATGAAATGACTATTGTTAATGTAATAATTGATTTATGATTTACATTTGATTTGCTCAGATATAACAAGATAGCAAAAATGATGAAAATTACAGTATTTGTAATAATATATTTGAAAACGTTTAAAACGTCTCGAATATTTCGTTACGGTACGGGAAGTTCCAGCAATTTGCCCCAAGGCACGATGCCATACACCACTAGTTCATTATCTATTATCCTTTTCCATTGAGGGTTGTCCTTCCCTGTCCTCCGCCGAGATTGTATTGCAGCTACACGAGCGCTTCCTGACGGACGGGACGACCCGACTGCGACCGACTGTGACTCTACATTCCTAACAGAATGTTTTATTTCGACATCATGTTCAAGTTAAAAGTACCGTAATAATAATATATTAATATGTGACATTCTAATTTTTACTAAGTTTAATTAATTTATTTACAAACGCAATGTCCGCACATTTTAAACAAGTCTAAAAGTCGATCGAACACACAAAAGCGATGGGTACGGGTAATTGACATTTTTTACCAGTGATGAGTGTTAGTTTTTCTTTGTTTCAGTTTTAATAAATGTGAAATGTTATTTTGTAGAAGAAATGTCGACAAAAGTGCTGGATTTGTATGATTTCTTAGTGGAAGCCGAATTGCAACATTATTACACGGCTATCAAGTAAGTGGGTTTTACATTTTTTATAGGTTATGTCTACAAAGTGTCAACAAATGTAAACAAAAAGAACTAATTGATAAATGATAATAGATAGTAAATATAAAACGACTGCATTAAATATAAACAATTTTATATAAAACTATTTGTTTTATTCAAGACTTTGTGGATGTTCTTTTTTATTGCATTTGGAACTGTCAACATTTTGTCTTAAAAACATAAAAATAATAATTACACTAATGAACAAAATGGACGAATTACACTTTTACTTTTGTTTTTATCATTTATTAACTTCCCGAAGGAGATGTTTATGTTTTCATAAAAAAATCCGATTCGCTAATTTTATGTTTTCTCAACGTTTCAAGCCATTCTGAATCGAATGAGACCAAATTTGGAAAAAGTGTGTGTGTGTGTGTGTGTGTGTGTGTGCACCAACAGATTTTTTGCCGTAAATCGCCGTTTTCTCAAAAAACGGCTGGACCGATTTCAAAAATTTAAAAGCCATTCGATGTATCTCGATGAGGACTATTGTTTGTCAGTTTTGTGCGACAATCGGCCAAGCCATTTCTTCGTAAATAGCAGAGAAGTGAAAAGTTTTTCGTCTACGTTTTATCCCGCAATTCTGAATCGATTTTGAAAATTCAAAAATCGTTCGAAAGATATTGATTGGGAATCGACCCGATTAGTTTTTGGTAGAGATCGGCCGGGCCGTTTTCTTGTAATAAAGTTTTTTAAAAAAAAAAATCGACGATTTTTATGATTATTGTTTTGACGGTAGATACCATAGTCTTCTAGATCATACCAAAAAATATTACGGCCCTACGACAACTTGTTCGTCAAAGATTGTAAAAATTATTATCGTTTTTTTGGCATTTGTCAAAATTAGAACTTTCATCGACGTTTGCTCAAAAATGCCTGATTATCGTTTCTCAGTTTTGTGCGACGATCGGCCGAACCGTTTCTTTGTAATTTGAAAAAAATTGTTAAACCTTTCGTTCACATTTAAGCTCATCCTACCGAACCGATTTTAAAAAATCAAAATCTGTTTGAAAGATATTAGTTGGGAATGATACTGATTAGTTTTAGGTGAAAATCTACCGAGCCGTTTTCTTGTAATTAACTGTTGAAACAAAAATTGAAGCCGATTTTGATGGAATTTTTTTGGGCGACATATATCATGGTCTTATAGAACTTACTGAAATATTACGGCCTTACGACAAATAGTTTAACTTTAAAAATTCATCAAAGTTTGAGAAAATGAGTACTTCTTTTGACCTTTGTTAAAATTAAAATTAGACGATTTATTTGGTATAACGATAGAGTACTTGGTCTTAATGAACATACTAAACAATTAAAGTCCTACAAAAAACTGGCCCAATTATTAAAATTATTGATTTTTGAAAATTTGCTTTCAGAAAATACTCCGGTCGGGTTGACGTGTTCTATTTTCAATAATGTGTAATAAATCCACTTCGAATACTTTTAACTACTCATAAATTAATTTATCTATCTTGAATTAAGTCGATTATTTACACAAATCGGGAAGTTCATGTAACTTGTCCCAAGGCAAAATACCAATACCAACTAGTTTATATATCCAAAGACTCCGAATAATACTCTATCTTTAAATAATATGCTTTTTAATATGAAGTTTTTGCTCTTTTTTAATATGATTTACAAAAAATTATATTCTTATTTTACAATTATCTAAAATATAATACACCATTTTATATCAAAAACTAAACTACTTAGAATGAAAGTAAAACTTATTTTACTCTAGTTTCACATACTTCTATTAAATAACGAACAACTTTAATTAGATTAATATTTTTTGTTAAAGTAAGTTGGATAAATAGCTTCTCAATATTATTTATTTATTTATTTTACTTTTATAATATACTTGAAATAATCCATTTAATTTGCATTTATTAAATAAGAACAAAGTTCAAAATGAAGTCTACTTATTATTTATTGTTTAATTTGTTTCTTTTTATTTAATTTCAAACCTTATATTTATATATTATTTATATTTATATTCATGTATAAATCTTTGTATACCAAATATTCCACAAAATATTTTTTCAATTTTTAACTTCCCGTAGGGCAAGTTATAGTAATCGCAAAAAAATCGAAAATGAAAATTTTTATATATCTTTACGTTTCAGAGGTTTCTGAATATTTTGGCATACCTTAGAAAAAATGGATGTATGTGTGTGTGTGTGTGTGTGTGCGTGTGTGTGCGTAGTATGTATGTGTGTGCGGATACAAATTTTCGTCGACGATTTCGGGAACACCGATCAACCGATTTGAATAATTCAAAAAACATTCGGTTCGTAATGATAAGGAGACGTGGTGATTAGTTTTTGGCAAAGGCAGCTCTAGCCGTTCCGAAGATATGGGGCAAAATGTACCAAAAACGGTAACACAGAGAATGGAGCGGCTGATTTGAATTATTCAAAAAACATTTTACTTCTATTAAGAAGATGAAGAACTGATAAAATTTTCATGAAGGCAGGTCTAGCGGTTTCGGAGATCTAGTAAAAAAAGTAAAAAAAATGCCATTTGGCGGTCAAAAATGATTATTAGACATATGCACATCAAATTATCAGATGTTTTATAGAGATTTTCACAATAAGTATAAATTTTGTTTATGTTTTGTTTTGTTTTTGTTTTTGTTTGTTGGATAAAAAGTTTTAAATTATGTGAATTTAAATTATATTATATAAAGTTTGAAGTTGAACAAAATAAATGAATGTAACGATTATATTAGGAAAAATGCTGAATTCCGTCATGATTTTAAAAAATAAGCTTTATTTTTATTTTATTATAAACCAAATATTGTTATAAATATTTTATATTTCTAATATTTTATTTAATATAAATTATTATATAATTTGCGTACACATCCATTACTTTATTAAACTATTGAATAAAGTGTGGACGAGTTTTCTATTGTAGGATGTGACTAATTTCCTGTCTTTTATATAGATAGATATAGATAGACTCTATAAAGTTAATAAAATCTTGATATTTAATACAGAATTTTGTCAAATCAGTATTTAAAATATAAAAAAATATATAAAATATTTATGACCTGGACTCATATTTTTTAAATAAAATTAGAAACTAATATTGTACGTAGTTGTGTGTCAGCAAACTTGTAAGAGATTTAACTTAAATTGATTTTTTTTTAGATTAAAATAATCATAATTATAAATAACTAGATGACCCGACAGACGTTGTCCTGTACCCAAGTCTACAATTTTTTAATATAATATATTAATATTTTCCGTTTACCTAAAAATAATAATTATTGCTTTTTTAAATTACTCTTCACACTAAAATGCATATACATTTATAATATGAAAGATGTTAAATGTAGAACTGCTTTAAATAAAATGTTGAGTCTCAATTCCCACACTTTATATTGGAAATTGAAGTCTTTTAAATGGTATAACATAATTATAACCATAACATAACACTGGTACTTAATGTTGGATTAAATTAATTTAATTTTTTATTATTTAAGATATCCAAAATTGCATCTTAAACTTATCCTAATCGATATCGTGAGGGCCGAATTCTATGTATTCATCTTTACTTTCTCATTTGTTGTTATAAAGTGAATTATCTACGAATTTTAAGAATTTTGTGGAAAGATTAGTAAAAGATGCAAAGAAATTATATATTGAAAAAAAAAACTACATATATTGAAAATTTAATATCCGAATCTTGTATTGGCGCCCCCTAAGGCGTGCGCTCGTATTTTTCGCAAGCATCGCATTAAAGGTAGGACCGACCCTGATTAATACTTAATTTCATATTTTAAGTGAATTATTTTGTCATATCCTGTTCATATATGTGTCGTTCAATCTGTCTTTGATATACTATATCTTATATTATTTTAATTTCTGACACATCTCAGCTGCTTTTTGGCAATAATAATGTAGACTTTTCATTTTTCTTATTTATAATAATCATAAATTTATTATACATATTCTAATATCGTCTAGGTTCATAAGTAAATTGAAATTTTTGGCAGATGATAGTTTTCATTTGTTCTCGATGCAAACAATGATGTGTCGTTTTTTGCAATTTTTCCTTTTATTTCTACAATATTGCACATACATCCCAGTACTTTATAATCACATACATTCTAGAAAATTTCCTTAACAAAGTTCAGAAAGATTTATCAAGATCCGAATAATCGTTTAGGAAAAGTAAACAGTGGTTGCTTGTGATTTAATATAAACTTTATATAATAGCAATAAAGCTCAAATTGATTCTATTGCTCGGGGTTTTCCCGGCAATTATTCGATTTTTTCTCGCCGTAACAACCATCCTTGGACTTCAACGAACATTTTAAAAAAATAATTGGCCAAATTGGTCCAGGCGTTGTTGAGTTATGCGCTTACCAACACATTTTGCGATTCATTCAGAAGATATATAAGATAATCTTATAACAGTAGAGATTAGTTAAGTTAAATGACGTAAATTTAACTTATGTATTTATAAAATAAATTTCACTATACTTAATGATGTAATAAAAATTATATATTTTTTTTATTTAATGAACCAAAGTTTGAAGATCTAAGCTTAATAAATTAAGAATATTTTGTACCATTAATTTTGTATCTTGTATTCGAAAAATATGGTAAACTGAGAATCTTTTTTACAAACGATTTTATTATTGTTAGTATTTACAAACTATGTAAGTGACCTAACCCACAGTACATATTTGCATATAGTTTTATATACATATATACATATATATAAATTTATTAATATATACAATTATAATGTTTAATTAGCACAATGCGATAACAACAACCAAATGGTCTAATTAATTCAAATCATGTATTCACTATACAATAATCAATGAAATGATCTCGATTTGAATGAAGATGTTATAAATTATAAATAAACAATACTGAAATATATTTACTGTTCTACAAACTAAATTGATAATGCGAATAAATAACAAATTGATAGATAAATAAATCCATACCAATAAATCAAATTTATATTGAACTTTGGGAACGGAATTTGTTGCTTGTTTATACCTACTTTTGTTTATCTTCTATATATATAAAAATAAGTCGGGTTTTCCTTCCTGACGAAATAACTCCAGAACGCACGAACCGATTTCGACAATTTTGCATTCGTTGGAAAGGTCTCGGGCTCCGCAAGGTTTATAGCTAAGAAAATTAGTTGTGCATGGCATATAGGTGCCCTAATGCAAATTGCTGGAACTTCACGCATCGTAATTAAAAATTCGAGTAATGACATTAGTGAGAATTATCAGAATTATGCTTGGTTAAGTCGACGAGCAACTCTTGCCGCCAAGAAATATGATGTACACGCACTGAATTTCACCATTCAATCAAAAATTGCTGGCGATTTGGTGACATACCGATGATTCCGACTTCAAACGATTGCAATTTCCAATTCGCCTTGCGTTCGCAATAACAACTAACAAGTCGCAAGGCCAATCGCTTAGTGTTTGCGGGATAAATTTCAAATAGATTATTTAGAAAATCATTGTTTTTCACATGGGCAGTTATACGTTGCCTGTTCACGAGTTGGAAAACCATCCGCTTTGTTTGTGTTAACGTCAGACCAAAAAACAAAAAATGTGGTTTACCAAAGATTACTTCCATGAAACGGATAATTGACGGATACACTTTCATTTACTTAGAGAAGTTCAACTAAAAAACACTTCATTAATCGAAATAAAATCATTACTGTTGTATAATAAAATCAAATTTTTCCTTTTCAAATATAAAACAAACAAAAAAATTCTTTCATCTTCATCTTTCTCACGAAACCATCTGGTGGCGAAACGGAGTTCGTCGGGTTTGCTAGTTTGATATAAAAATTATAATTTAAATTAAAATATTTCTTTAAGATATTATTTAGTAAAATTATTTTTATATGAAATTTTACAGAATTTTATATAACAATTCAAAAAGCTAAAAGAGACTATAGTTTAGTACTAACAATAAGTTATTCATTATATATATGTAACATATATGTTAGTTATTAATATAATTAAGTTGTCCTTAATTTTTGCAAATTAATTTCTTTTACAATACAACTTACAAAATTAAAGGTAAAGATCCTTAATTTTTCTTAGTTTTTTTTATCATATTTCTATTATATAACTTGCTAAATTAATAGTACAACTCGTTTTTAACTTTCTGTAGGGTAAGTTATTATAATGGGCCGAAAATCGGAATTAAAAATTTTCACGTTTCTCGACGTTTTGAAGGCTTTTGAACATGTTGGCATACTTGTTATATCACTTTATTGGTTCCTTTTTAACTTCCCGTAAGGTAGTTATAGTAATGGGTTAGTAATTCCTCAATCATTTCGTTACGGTACGGGAAGTTCCAGCAATTTGCCTTAAAGCACGATGCCATACACCACTAGTTTATTTTATTTTTCTAAGTTTTCTTTTACTTAAATGTTATAAGATAATTCATTAAATTAATGGCACTAGTCGTTTTTTATTTTTCTAAACTTTCATTTGCTGTATTTTTACAATATAATTTACAAAACTAATGATACATGTTGTTCTTCTCTAAGCTTTATTTTTTTTTAATTTTACAATACAAAACTAATGGTACAAGTTGATCTTAATTTTTCTAATTTTTCTTAAATATTATTGCATCTTTCTAGACCTTTTACTTTACTTTTAATGATAAAATTTCATTTCTTTTTATTTTAAGTACAACTTGCTAAATACTGTTTACTGTTTATTTTATACTATTTATACATTCTTTTACATATTTGAGAAGAATATTTTATACTAATTAATTTTTTTCCTAATATTTAAATTCAATTTAAGAAATGTTTATATTTTATTGATCATTATTACATTTTCGACTATGAATTGCCATGGTTTCCTTTGTGAATCAGCATGTGTGTTTTCAGATTATCGAATCGTGTGAATGTTTTATTACAAACATTGCATTGATGAGAGCGTATTCCTTTGTGAATCAGCATATGTCTTTGCAGATGATAGAATCGTGTGAATGTCTTATTACAATCATTGCATCGATGAGGGCGTATTCCTTTGTGAATCAGCATGTGTCTTTGCAGATTACCGAATTGTGTGAATTTCTTATTGCATATACTGCATTCATGTGGCCGCTCACCAACATGAATGTTCATGTGTTTTTTCAGATGACTTGATTGTGTGAATCTCTTGTTGCATATGAGGCATTCATGAGGCCGTTCTCCACTATGCAAAAGCATGTGAGTTTTCAAGTAACCTTTTTGATGGATAGTCTTATGACAGATTTCGCATTTTAAAGGGCGTTCTTTGCTATTACCAGACTTGTGATCGACCATATGCTCTTTTAATTGATCAGATTCTGTAAATGATTGATCACAAATGTCACATTCATAAGCTGCTGGTTCGACTAACTCCTGTTTGACTTCTACTTCGAAAGTCACTTCAGAGTTCATGAAATTTTCTAAACAGGTTTCATCATCCTCAGAACACGATTCAGATTTAACCACATCATCAGAAACATCAATATCATCCTGAATTTCGTGTTTAATGTTTTCTTCTGAATATTCTGGTGGTTCAACTTTAATTGCCGGATCATTCATTGACATGAGTGTTTCTTCTGACATTTTTAAATATGTTAACAGCTTATACTCACTTACGAAATAATTGAAATAATTCCAAAATAAGCGTGGGCTAAATAATAACCTAGTTTAATCAACAATTAACAATCCTTTTCAATACCATAGTCCATAACCGATTTCAACTTAAAATAAATTTATTATTTGACATTTGGAGCATAGAGTATACTTACAGAAAGATGAGACACTTATCATATCGCTTTCGCATTTAACAATGGCGCGCATTTTCAAATTCATCATGTTTCACTATGTCTAAACTATTTTATTAAATAATATTATATATATTATATAACGTTTCGAGACTAGATTTGTCTCATCATCGGTGTATTATAATTTAAAATTTTAAGACCATTTAAATAAAGTTTCCAGCAGCAGAAAAACAGAATTAAATACAAAAAATATGAACCAATAGAAAGTATACACAAATAAATCATAATGAAAAATTAAACAAATAAGTAGAAAATACATAGATAGATATATATCTATCTATGTATTTTCTATTTATTTGTTTAATTTTTCATTATGATTTATTTGTGTATATCTATATAGATAGATAAATAGATGAATAGATAAAAATAACTAGTTGAATACATAGATAAATATATAACTAAATCACTAGATAAATACATATATAAAATAGTAGGGTGTATAGCATCATGCCTTAAGGCAAATTGCTGGAACATTCCGTACCGTAACGAAATGTTCGAGGAATTTTGAATGTTCTCAAATAGATTATTATAAATAGATATTGTAACATTGTCTAATATTTATAAGAATTATATAAATTAAATTGCAAAGTTGAAATTATTTGTTTAAAGTATATTAGTCAGTATTAAAAATAAAATCTGAATTATTTTCGATATACAAAATTTTTTTTTTTTGAAATCGATTATTTTGTTTAGTTTGTTAAGCATTTTTTGCTCCGTATCTCCGAAACGGCTAAACCTGCCTTCGCCAAAAACTAATCAGCAAATCTCCCTATCAATAGGAATCGAATGTTTTTTTAACCATTCAAATCGGTTGATCCGTGCGCCCGAAAACGTGACTGGAAAATTGTATACATACACACTCACACACACATCCATTTTTTCTGAAGTATGCCAAAATGTTCAGAAACCTTCAAAACGTCGAGAATTGCAAAAATTTTCAATTTCGATTTTCGGCCCATTACAATAACTTATACTACGGGAAGTTAATAGTAATTTATGTTTCTATTAATAGTATTTATGTTTTAATTAATTTTTTTAATTAAAAACAGAAACATAAATTAATTAAATTTAATTAATTTTTTGTTTTTAAAAATAATATTGTTTTCAATTTTGTGTTTGGATTTTGCTCGGTTTCATATGTATATTTTATTTAATGAATATCAAATATTTTTTAATAATTGTATGAATGGTTTAAAACAAATTTCTGTAATTTAGATTTGGTAAATGATGGCACACATCGAGTGTCGAAACGTCTAAATAAAGAAGTGATAACTAATTTATCATTTAAATTCTAATTATTGGTTTCCAATTGTATATATGTACACAAAATTATATATAACTAATTATTATACATATATTTATCAATTATATTATTTTTTTATCTATTATATTTCCAGATCCGAGCTAAAAGTCCAAAACGTATCCCAACTAAAATATGCAACAGATGAAGACTTAAGACTTCTCGGGTGCTCCAGACCAGAGATCAGACGACTCAGAAAATTCTACGACAGGCACTACCCCAATGGATATCTCAGTAAAATTAAAAGACTTCTGCACGCACCTAACAAAAAAGACGATGTAAGATAAATGAAACAAAGTCAAGTTCAGCATTGTTTTTATCTTGTATTCATTTTTAGCCTGGACAGTTATCAACGGTTTGTGAGGAGAGATCCAACTCAATATCGAGAAGTTCAACAATATCGAATAATAGCAATTCGAGTACACCAGGATCTAAGCATATAATTCCTGCAGAAAGTATTAATGTTCATAAGCAACTCGGCATTGGTGAATTTGGTGTGGTGCAGCAGGGAGTTTGGAAAAATAATGGAGAAAATGTAATTGATAGTGAAAATATTGTGTATAGTATATATATATATATATATATATATATATATATATTTATATGTATATTTATATGTAGACGTCGTGTGTCTTATATGCGTTTATCGATCACCTGACCAGAATGTTGATATGTTCATCTCGCTGATGTACGAATTGATTCATAACCTTTTTGATAAATATTCCAAAATCATTGTTTGCGGCGATTTTAATATACACTTTGATAAGCAATCGAAGCCATCCATTGAATTCAATTTGAATATGCAGTCTTTTGGTTTAACGCGTACTATACATGAACCTACTCGGTTTTCGCATCAATCTTCTTCTTGCATTGATAATTTCTTCACCAATTTAAAAGACTTTGATTCGCGTGTTATAAATACCACTCTTTCAGACCATCGAGGCATAATATTAAATTTTTGTAATTTTTCAACTTCTAAATCTACCTTTATCTTACACAAACGTTATTTTGATGAATCAAATAAATTGATTTTCAAATGTCTTTTGGAAAAGGAATCATGGACCTTGCTTAACAAGTCGAAAGACTCAAATACAATGTTCGACAACTTTATTTCTACATTTTTATTCAACTTTAATCAAGCTTTTCCTCTCATTAAGAAAACCGTTTGCCCAAAAAATAATACTTCAACTCCTTGGCTAACTAAAGGGTTGAGAATTTCACTTAAAAGATTAGCATTTCTTGAGAGATTATCGGTACATAATGATAACATGGCTTTTATAATTTATTTTTTGAAATATAGGGCAACTTTAAATGATCTAATCAATTTAGCGAAGATCAAATATAACGAAAACTTGATTTTTAATTCAGCTAATAAACAGAAAACAATTTGGTCCTTAATTAACTCGGAAATCAACACGAAAACTAAATCTTCACAGATTGATTGTCTTACAATTAACGGCGACAAGATTATTGATAAGGTAGTCATATCTAATAAATTTAATCACTTTTTTGTCACCGAAGCGTCTAAATTAACAAGCGCAATCAACTCGACCACCACTAATTCGACTAAATCTTTATCCGCGCGAAATAATTCTACATTCGTTCTTTATCCTGTAAATTTAGAAGAACTAAAGCAAACCTTTCTATCGATAAAAGTTACTAGTTCAGCGGGTCCGGATCAGATACCTAGTCTTATTCTTAAAGAATTCTATCCCTTTTTCATAGATAAATTTATGTTATGTTTAAATAAATGCTTCGATGAAGGAATATTTCCATCGCACCTCAAGCATTCAAAGATTTTTCCACTTCATAAGAAAAATAATAAAGACGATATAAATAATTACCGTCCCATTTCCCTCTTAAACTCTTTCGATAAAATAATTGAAAAAATCTTGCATACTAGATTAACGTCTTTTCTCAATAAATATAATATTTTGTTCAAGAATCAGCATGGTTTCCGAAAGAACCATTCCACTTCCCACTCAATTTATAATTTAGTTCATAACATCATTGACTCCTTCGAAGAAGCCACATATTGTACTGCGATATTTTGCGATCTGTCCAAAGCTTTCGATAGTATTTCTCATCAAAGACTTCTTGACAAATTAGAAAATTGTGGTATTCGCGGACGTTCGCTCAAACTATTTAAATCTTACCTGTCTAATCGAACACAAAGCGTTTACTTAAATAACGATCACGAGCAAATAATTTCGGATAAATTGACAAGTACATTGGGAGTGCCCCAAGGATCAATTTTAGGGCCTCTCTTATTTCTCATATATATTAATGATTTACCTCATTGTACAAATCTTTGTGATTTTATTCTTTTTGCGGATGATACCAGCGTTATCATCAAGGCCAAATCTCTTAATGAATTACAACATAAATTAAGCGTGGTTATGTCAGAAATAACGAAATGGTTTTGTGAAAATAATCTAGTCCTCAATAATGATAAGACCCAAATCATATCTTTTTGTACAAAAAATCGTTTATCCAATAATATTACTTCTTTAACTATCAATAATTCAGCATATAATTTTTCGCAAGTATCAAAATTTCTTGGTATCCATATTAATAATAATTTAAAGTGGTCTGATCATATCTCTATCTCACTATCACCAACTTTATCTAGAACATGTTTCATGTTGCGCACCCTAAAACCCAAACTTGGTTTAAATTGCTTACTTTCAGTTTATTATAGCAACTTTTATTCTCACGTTTCATACGGCATTCAATTCTGGGGTTTTTCATCCGAACTAATTAAAATATTTAAGCTTCAGAAAAGAGCTATTCGAATAATTTTTTCCTTGCCTAGTAAAGCCTCCTGCAGACCCATATTTAAAAAATACAATATTCTAACTGTCCCATGCATTTTTCTGCTGGTAACATTAACTTTCATCAAAAACAATTCGAAACTTTTTGATATGGCTTCGTCCTCCTCAAACTACAACACTAGACACAAACTTATTAAGGCGCGCACATATAAATTAGCCAGGTCTTTCAATTCGATCGACGGTCTAGGTATTCAGCTTATGAATAAACTTCCACTCAATATCCGAAACCTAGACAGCAAAAAATTTCATGCTTCCCTAGTTAAACTTTTTAAAGACTTAGCTTTTTATGACATTACTGAATTTTCTCAATTTGATTTCAATAACTATTTTCTTGCATAATCCTTATCCTTTATCTATGTAGTCTGACCATTTGATCGCCTGTACAACCATATATATTTTTTATTTTTTTATTGCTATTTTATTAATTTAAATTTTTTACGGTTTTTAATGAGTATAACTTTCAAACTTGTGCAAGAATTTTGAGCTTGACTGGTGGTCAAATAGACTTCAATATGATGAACTTGATGATGAACGTTGTATTTAATGTTCGAATGCTTTTTTTTTCAGCTCTTTTTTTCAGAAGCGAAATTTGTGCAGCTACTATGATTATTATAAAATTACTATCCTTTTAATATTAACTATGAATAAGCTTGACAAGAGCCTGAAATAATATCTATTATTATTGATTACGGCTTGCTTATGAATAAATAAATAAATAAAATAAATAAATAAATAAAATATATTTATCTATTTCAGATTCAAGTAGCTATAAAATGTCTATCAAGGGAACGTATGCAATCACATCCTATGGAATTTTTAAAAGAGGCAGCAATTATGCACTCGGTCGAAAATGCTCACATTGTACGTCTGTATGGTGTTGTTTTGGATACAGACGCCTTAATGCTGGTGAGATAATTGAAATTATATTAATAATTATTGGTGAATATTGACAATTGGTTTTTTAATACAAGGTTACCGAGTTGGCACCACTTCGGTCACTTTTGGAATGTTTGAAGGAACCAGCATTGAGGTCTAGTTTTACAATATCTACTTTGTGTGAATTTGCATCGCAGATTTGTCTTGGGATGAATTATTTAGAGAACAAAAGACTTATACACAGGTATTATGATTTAATATTTTAATTTTCAAATACAAGTTTTTGATTTTTTTAACAACAATATTTGAAAGTAGAGGGCAAAAGTTGTATAACCAGCTAAACCTTGATTCATACGACGTTTATATCGGTTAATAAACGGCAATGTTTGAAATTCCATAGCAAAAGTATTTTCTTTCGTTGTTATTTGTTTTGGTTGTGAGCACTGTTATTTAGTTTAAGAGACCTTAATATATTTGTTGAGTCTATGTTATTAAACTGTTTTATAAGATGTATTGCTAATTCTAAATTAGATTCACCGACTTTGCTTTAAAAAAAGTTCAAAGTTTCCAAAAATTTCGACAAAGAAACATTTTTTTCTAAAAGTTTTTTCTCCAAAAAAGTCATTCTTTTAAAAAAAATTAAACTTTCTCAAAAATCTAATTTTTACAAAGTTTAAAACAAATTTAATCTGTTTTAAAAAAAATAATTTTTGGTATGGGAAGTTCTAGCAATTTGCCTAAAGGTTGGCAAAGGTGTAAGCAATAAAAATAGTAAATAACAAGAAAAATTTAATTTTAACTAGTAGTATATGACATCTATATTAAGGCAAATTGCTGGAACTTCCCGAACCAAAATTAAAATGTTTAAAAAAGATTCAATTTTCTTTTAGAACACTGAAAAAAATCGATTTTCGAGATTTTTAAAATTTTTGAACTAAATTGACCTTTGATTTTTTATATTTTGAACGTAAAAACGAAATATCGAAGCGCGTGGGCGCCGCGTCGCACTATAACGGATAAAACTTGGTACGAAACCCATAGAAAAGTAAACGAAATGTGTTATTTTTATTAAAATCTTTTATTTTATCTCCGAAACCGTTAGACCTGCCTTCCCAAAAATTTCACCAATTTTTCATTTCGTCAATACAAATAAAATGTTTTTTGAATCAAAACGTTCAGAAGGTCCTGAAATGTAAAGATATGCAAAAGTTTTCATTATCGATTTTTCTGCAATTAACATAATTTACCCTACAGGAAGTTCAGTTAACAAAGAAAGTGTGGTATTTTTGAACGATGCTATTTTAAAGTAGAGGACAAACGATGTGTATCGCTTTAAATCGGGCGACGTCGTTTTCACAATTGTATATTTTAAAATATACTGCTACATTGTCAATTTTTTTCATTATATTTTTTTGTTTTTGATCATTGTTGTTTAGTTTACGATACCTGAATATAATTTTTGAGTATATATTATTTAATTGTTTCATACGGGGGCGTTCATTAATCACGTGATCGACTTTTTAAGGATTTTTGGATACCTCACCAAACAATATGTGTATTTTTAGTTACGAGAAAAAATTGTAAAATTTTTGTTTTTTTTTAAATGTTTGGATTTTTTTTTTAATTCAGGTAAAAAATAAATAAACGTGATATCTTACTATACCCTTTCCTCCCCCACGTGATATTTTGTGATTTTTCACAAACCGCCCCTCCACCTAAAAACCTCAGGAAATCAATGGACGCCCCTTAAAGTGTTTTGTTATTTAATATAAAACAGTTTTTTAATATAATTTTGGTTTTCATAATATAATTACTCGACTCGACTTGGACCAATGCTTATTCGTTAGACGGCGGCGCGGCGCTTATACGCTTCGATATTTCGTCTCTATGCAGTTAAAGCAGTACGATTGCTTTGAAAAAAAGTTTAGAATTTCCAAAATATTTCAAAATACACTTTTTTTCTAAAAGTTTTTTTTTTCAAAAAAAGTAAATTTTTGTCAAAAATTCATAGTTTCTCAAAAATATAATTTTTCAGAGTAAATTTTTTTCAAAAATGTTAATCGTTTTTAAAAAAATAATAATTTTTGGTACGGGAAGTTCCAGCAATTTGTCTTAAGGCACGATGCCATGCGCCCCACTAGTTTATTTTAATTTTATTTATTTTTAAATATATATACCACAGATTTCTTCCAAGAGGACTTAAAAAAAACAATTATTTTACTTATGGATAACAATTAATATATATATATACAAAATTACAATATATAGTAAAATTAATAGTGAACTTAACACAAAATTACATAATGCAGAATGTAACAATATTATTCATTTACATAGAATAAGATAAAATAATGAAAGATATTTGAGAAGAAATAAAAAGGTTAACTTGGTTATATGTGATATTTATTTTGCAGGGATCTTGCAGCCAGAAATATTTTGGTGTTTTCAAAATACAAAGTCAAGATTTCTGATTTTGGCTTGAGTCGAGCCTTAGGAGTTGGAAAAGACTATTATCAAACTAATTTAATGTTAATTTAAAATTACCAATAGCATGGTGAGATTGTAAAACTTTTCAGTCTTTCAATTGTAATCCAAATAATTTATACCGAGAAAGATGCAATTTTAAGAGACTTTTTGCTGAAGGTTGTCTTAATTATTTTAATTATTTTTTTAAATATACTTTTTAATGCTTATCATTTGACTATAAAAACAAGTAATGTTAGCAAAATGTTAGAGGATTAGCTTAATCGGTTTTTATCTCTTTACAAACACCCAGTGTGGTTTTTCTCATTTACTTTGCAATAGTTATCAAATCTTAATAAATTCCTGCAATACTGATATGATATTTTAATTCCTGATTCATTACAAACATAATTACACATTTATTTTCTGATAAAAACATTCTAAGATTAACTATTTAATTTATTCTAAAGTCTAACTATAAAATTGTATAATTTTTATCTTCAAAATGTTAGTTAACTTTCTATTCCAATTATTTATTTATTGTGATTTTTCTTTGGTTAGTAATCAAAACAAATATTAATATTTTTTCCAAGGTGTGCTCCAGAGTGTATAAGTTATTTAAGGTTTACATCAGCCTCCGATGTCTGGGCTTATGCGGTTACACTCTGGGAAATGTTCTCTTATGGATTTCAACCGTGGGCAGCACTCACTGGACATCAGATATTACAAGCCATCGATGAACCAAATTATCAGGTAATAATCAATATAATAATAGTCTTATAAATATATATTTATTTGCTATAGTGGAATTCATTATTAATATTTAAATATTGCATTTAAAAATATTTTTAACTTCCCGAAGGAGAAGTTTATGTTTTTATAAAAAAAATCGATTTGCTAATTTTATGTTTTTAATTTTAATTAATTTTAGTGTGAATTTTATGGTCTTATAGAACTTACTGAAACATTACGGCCTTACGACAAGTTGTTTAATTAACTTCCCGAAGGAGAAGTTTATGTTTTCATAAAAAAATCCGACTCGGTAATTTTATGTTTTCTCGACGTTTCAAACCATTCTGAATCGAATGAGACCAAATTTGGAAAAAGTATGTGTGCGTGTGAACGGATTTTTTATTTATTTATTTATTTTAAATATATAGCTCACAGATTTCTTCCAAGAGGACTCAAAAATACATTTTACCGTAAATCAAAGTTTTCTCAAAAACGGCTAGACCGATTTCAAAAATTTAAAAGCTATTCGATGTATCTCGATGAGGACTAGGGTTTTTGAGTTTTGTGCGACAATCGGCCGGGCCGTTTCTTTGTAAATCGCAGAAAAGTGAAAATTTTTTCGTCCACGTTTTAGCCCGCAATTCTGAATCGATTTTGAAAATTCAAAAACCGTTTGAAAGATATTGGTTGGTAATTGTGCTGATTAGTTTTTGGTTGAGATCGGCCGGGCCGTTTTCTTGTAATAAAGTTTAAAAAAAAAAAAAAATCGACGATTTTTATGATTATTTTTTTGACGGTAGATACCATAGTCTTCTAGATCATACTAAAATATTACGACCCTACGACAAATGGTTTAGCTTTAAAAGTTCGTCAAAGTTTGCAAAAATTGGTATCGTTTTTTGACATTTGTCAAAATTAGACCTTTGATCGACGTTTTCTCAAAAACGCCTGAACCGATTTCAGAAATTTAAAAGCCATTCGATGTGTTTCGATGAGGACTATGGTTTGTCAGTTTTGGGCGACGACCTGCCAAGCCGTTTCTTTGTAATTTGAAAAAAAGTGTTAAACTTTTCGTCCACATTTAAGCTCATACTACCGAACCGATTTTCAAAAATCAAAAACTGTTCGAAAGATATTAGTTGGGAATAATACTGATTAGTTTTAGGTAAAAATCTACCGAACCGTTTTCTTGTAATTATCTATTGAAAAAAAAATTTAGCCGATTTTTATTTTTTTGGCGATATATATCATGGTCTTATGGAACTTACTGAAATATTACGGCCTTACGACAAGTCGTTTAATTTTAAAAATTCATTAAAATTTGAGAAAATGAATAGTTTTTTTGGCGTTTGTTAAAATTAAAATCAGACGATTTACTTGGTATAACGATAGAGTACTTGGTCTTAATGAACATACTAAACCATTAAAGTCCTACGGAAACTGGTTCAATTATAAAAATTATTGATTTTTGAAAATTTGCCTTTAAAAAATACTCTGAGTTAGCGTGTTCGTTCGTTTTCAATAATGTGTAATAAATCCACTCGGAATACTTTTAATAACTTATAAATTAATTTATTTTTTATTGATTAAGTCGATTATCTAAACATATCAGGAAGTTCACGTAACTTCTCTCAAGGCAAAAATACCAATACCAACTACTTTGTTATACTATTTATAGTTGATTTCATCATCAATACTTACTTAATGTATATAATATATATTATATATATATATATATATAAACGATGTTTATTTGATTATGATTTTTACTATTTTTTGTATATTTCTTTTACCTTCAGCGTTTAGAGCAACCAGAATGCTGCCCCAAAGAATATTACTCCCTGATGATGAAATGCTGGCAGCACGATCCTCTCGACAGACCGAGTTTTGCAGAAATTCTATCCTATTTACCAGAATGCAAACCTGAAAGAGTCCAGGCTATCGTAAACACTGTATCTAATCTGAACGTGAACTGCAATATGGGGATGCTTGGAGACATGAAGAGCAATCAGAACAGACTTCAGTATCGGGCTGGGGATATTATCACTGTCTTGGACAAAGTGTAAGGGGATAATAGACTTATGTTATTAACATTATTATATTTTATGAGTATTTTATATTTAGTACTCATTCTCCGTTATGGAGAGGTGTTCTGGACAGCAGTGGACGTGGAGGCCTTTTCGACCCTGCGACTACTGTTACATATGTTGGACCTTTGCCGAATTCAGGAAATCTTGCGTCTTCTG